TACCTGTTACAGGATTTCTTTTTGGAATGATGAAAATGTTCTGGAATTAGGTAGTGGTGTTGGCTGCACAACTTTGAACATACTTAAAACCATTAAGTTGTATACTTTAAATGAGTGAATTGTATCGTATGTGAATGATATCTCAATAAAGCTATCACCAAAGGCAGAGGGCCGGGGAGGTCACATGGTGCTGTATTCATCTGAAGGCTTGATTGGGCCTTAAGGATCTGCTTCCAAGTGGCTCACTTGTACAGCTGTTGAGTGAGCCCTCAGTTCCTCACCATGTGGGCCTTTTCACAGGGCTGCTTGAGTGTCCTTGAGTGTCCTCATGACATGTTCACTGGCTTCCCCAGAACGAGTGATATGAGAGAGAGCAAGAAGGAAGGTACAATGCCTTTTATGACTAAGTTTCAGAAGTTACGTCATGTCCACCACATTTTATATACTAGGAACAAATGACTAAGTACAACTCACACTGAAGGGGAGAGGAAGTAGCCTCCACCATTTGAAGGAAGGAGTATCAGAGAATTTGTGCACATCTTTAAAACACCACAGCTTCTAATGTTGTTCAATTAGAATAGTTTCCATGGTCCCTCTGACTCCCCATCTCTCTCTCTCTTTTTTCTATGCATAGTTTAATAATCTGTTAAATTGAATCTAATGTGTTTCTTCCTATCTATTGCGATGTCTAGGTGGTTTTTTTTTTTTTTTTTAAGACTTTATTTATTTATCCGAGAGAGAGAGAGCCGTACAAGTTGGGGGAAGAGCAGAGGAAAAGGGAGAAGCAGACTCCCGGCTGAGTGGGGAACCCCATGCAGGGCTCAATTCCAAGACCCTGAGATCATGACCTGAGCCGAAGCCAGATGATTAATGAACTGCCCACCAACTCCCCCTGAGATATCTAGTTTGAAACACTGTTGTTTCTCAGTATGTATTCCCTCAGACCTGGGGCTGGGCTTCGTTTATGCCATGGATGCTTGGGTCTGAACTCCTACCTGGAAATCTTATGAGGGATAGTCTTGTACTCAGATTCCTATTCCTTAGCCCTGGGATCTCCTGGAAGAAGACTGCCTTCTGGGCTTCCTCCCAGCTGTCAGACTCCATCTGCCCATTGAGTTTCTTCTTCTGATCTGGGCAGGGGCTGCGCCAGATGGGCAGATGGAGTCTGACAGCTGGGAGGAAGCCCAGAAGGCCCCAAATGGCTGGATGAATTCTCAGGTGTGACAGCATCAGCTGCAGCACCTTCAGCATCTGAAGCAGCATTGGGGTGGATGCCACTGTCCTCCTGGGCAGCCCCCAACCAATGATGGGGCACGGCCAGGGCATTAGGGCCTGCCTGTTTCTGACCAGCTGGGGCTCTTGTATGGGTAGTCTGCACCAGAGCTCCCCGTTGGCTGGCTGAGATCTGCTCAGAGTGGGACCACAGTGTGATGCTCTTACCCAGCTCTCCGTCCCTTCTACTCCCTCCCCATAGATGTCAGACTTGCAACAGCCTGAAGGCTTTCCCTGCCCAATCCTGCTCCCTCCCTATCCCCTTTATCTTTCACAGGCATTTCCTCCACTACATCTCTCGCACTTCTAACTCCATCTTGGTGGTGGCTTCCCGGAGGACTCAGCTGACACCCAGGTCCTAGCCTCCCTGGGCTGCCAGACCCTGTCCCGGCAGGGAATGCATTCCTCTCCATCTCCTGACTTCAGCATGCTCTGTCTCTCCTCCCCTCCTCTCTCTGTTCAGGGCCCCCCCTGTGCCTGGCAGTAGTAGATGCTCGATAACTATTTGTTTTCAAATGAACGCAGAATGTTCTGGAGCTAGGCACTGCCTGCACCATTCTCCTGGCACAGATAGCTGCAGAGAGACCTCCAGATGGAGTAGGGAACGCAAGCTCCAAGGGCTCCAGGCAGTGGGGAGGAAATCCCTGAGATGGGGAGGTGGTAGGGGAGCCAAGAGCCTCCCAGGGTCACGGAGGTCCTCCCCACAGGCCAAGGAAAATCTGACCTGTCTTCTCACCTGGTCAACTATGCGACTCCTGGCAAGTGACTTCTCTTCTGGAACCTCACTCCATCCATCTCAACAATGGGATGAGAAGCCCTGCCCTGCCTGTCTCCCTAGGGAGGGGCAGGGGTTGTGAGCATCAGATGAGGTCATGGCCTGGAAAGGGCAGGATACCCTGGGGCCTGGGCCTGGGGTCAGGGTGTGGAGGAGGAGAACGCACAGAAAAGGCAGGAGGAGAGAAGGAGGAAGGGAGAGAAACAGACACACACACAAACTAGGAAACTATGAGACATAACAAGGGAAGGAATGAGAAAGAGAAGAGGAAGGGAGGAGAGAAACAAGAAGACATTAAGAAACAAAAAGAGAGGAAAACAGAGAGAGGGGAAAGAATTAAGAGAGAAACAGGAAAAGGAGGGAAAGAGAGTTTGGGGCGAGGACAGGGATGCTTAGAGCCAGAAGAGCACAAGAAATGAGATAGAAAGGGAGGGAGGAAACGAGGAGAATCCGAGCCAGAGAAGGAAAGAGACCAAGAGACAGAAGGATGAGAGAGAAGCCCAGGAGACAGAGCGATGAGGACTGATGCGCAGAGCGAGGGATAAATGATCAGATCCCATGGACCCCTGCCTTACTCTCCCGGGCACCCACTGTGCACCCTGCCCCACCCCAGACAGGTGGGGATCCAGAGGAAAGCCTCAGCTCCCCTTTTGTCTGCAGGGCTGGGCCTGTCCCGTCCTGCCGGTTGGCTCCTGGGATCCTCTGTGCCAAGGCCTCTGAGGGGCACTCCAGTGGGAGGCAGGGCTCCACAGTCTACCCTGCAGGTTGACTGACGTGGCCACAGGGTGGAATCTGAAGAGAAAACCCAGTGACACCTTCCCTCGAGACCTAGGCAGGCCCCTACCTGCCTTCCTTTGGGGCCCAGACAGGAAGAGACCTCAAAGGTCACTTCCATTGTTTTCTTCACTGTACAGAGGAAACCAAGGCCCAGATAGGGGCAGGGACTGGCCTGAAGTCATACAACCAGGTCATGGCCTAGCTGGGGCTACCTCTCGTGGGTGCTGTGGTCTGAAAATCTGGGGACTTGCTTCTTCCTGGCCAAATTGTTTCCTGCCCAGGGATGTCCTGAGGCTTTAGGGACAGGGTCTTGGAGGCCAGTCACTGTGCTGAGAGTCTTCCCCAGCATCCCGGGAACTGACTACTGTGATTAGGCCCATCATACAGATAAGGAGACTGAGGCCCAGAGAAGTTAAGACTTCAAAGCCTGAGGCCACACAGTGCCAGGACCCAAGTTAGGTATGTCTGACCTTGAAAGTTCGGTTCCTGCCATGGGACCTCCCAGCCTCCCTGGGTGATGGGCTCTGTAATACGGAAAAGGGAGCAGAGGTGGGTGGCCATCCCTACAACTGGGGGAAATGACCAGAACATGGTCTCCAAACAGTAGAGTTCTTTCCAGAGGGACCCACCTCTGTTCAGTGGTGTCCCTACCTTTGGGGACCCCAGGTCTCCCTACCCTTCCTGCCACCACTCTCTCTATTCCACACCCCCTTTCCCAGCTTCTTGAGAGAAAGAATTTGGCTCCTGGCCTGCTCCCACCCCCTTTCCCTTTTCATTGTCCCCAGCCACGACCTTCTGAGCCGCAGGCCCAGGCTGGTTCTGAAGCACAGCGATGGGCCTGCACTCCTGGCCGCCCCCGTTCTCCCTGCTATGTACAGTGAGCTTTCCTTCCCCAGCTATGCCCGTGGCTCTGCCTCGCTGGGGCTCGCCCTCCTGGAAGATTCTGGGATGGAGATTGAGAGGGATGTTGGGGGAGCGGGAGGCTGATGTGCAAATGGACAGACAGACAGACAGAGAAATCACTGTCCCCGGCAGCCCTGACTTCCCAGCAAAGCTTTCCAAGAGCTGTGCTGCCAGCTGCGAAGCCCTCCCTCCCTGGAGCCTGTCACCTGAAGTTTCCACACCCTCAGCCATCTTCCGTTTCTTCATCTGCACTGTGGGTGTAAGCATCCCAGCTTTCCTGGACGGTTGGGAGCTGGATGATACGTTAGCTTTGGGACACAGAGGGCTGGCGGTAGCCCTTCCCTGATGGAGAGACCATTCCTGTCCCTTGGGGAACACATGATGACCTGCTGTGTCCCACTGGTGGCAACAGTCCAGGCATGGAGATGGCTGCAGACTCAGCCCTCTGCCCAGCCCTCCACTCCTCTGGAGCCTATAGTCCCTTCAAGTCCAGAGCATTAGCCCTGCCCCATGCCCTGCTCTCAAGGCCAGCTCTGGCTCTGTCTCCACCATATATCAGACCAAGAGGGTTGCTGCTTGGCCAGGCTTGTGTCTGGGAGTCCCAGCAAGTGGGGAGCCCCAGGGCGCTGTCCCCTGATTATGCCGAGAGGCTTTCTTAGAACCAGTCCTGGGCGGTGGTGTACCCCAGGTGGCCAGGGGATGGACGCCCCCTTTCCCAGAAGCCTCAGGAGCTCCCAGGGGGCTGGCCACAGGGCCCCAGCCCTGCCCTCAGCTCCTTCACCTAGGTCTGGCAGAGGCCATGGCCCCCTGCCAACTTTGTGGAGATGGGTGTGGCTGCCTCCCTGGGGCAGAGGGCTGAGGATGAGTTCTGGGAGCTTCCTCTGAGTCCCTGAACCCCTTTCCCTCCCCAGGAAGATAGAGATCCTCTCCTGGCCCTCTGCCCCAGCCAAAGGCTTTGGCTATCACAGTCCCCATCCAGGCGGGGCTGGCAGCAGGTGACTAGATGAGAAAGGCATGGTGAATGGGGGCGTGGGCCCTGGAGAGTGCACTCTTTGGCCAATCAGCAGCCTGCCCAGCTGGTGGATTCAGTTACAAGCCGGAGATCACCCCATACTCCAGCCTCCTTCCTACTCCTCCCAAAGCTCCATTCATTGGCCCCGCTGCGCCGGGTCTGCAGGGCACTGCTTCCGCTCAGTTGCTAAAGCTGCTGCCTCGTGGGCTGCAGGGGTTGGTGTCCTGGGGGCTTTGTCTGACTGGGCTGGTCTAGGACGGAATGGGGGTTCCGGTAGTGCTGTTAGGGATGCTGAACTTCCTGGGAGTGGCTGGGGGGGGCTCTTCTGCCCTCCGCTGGGACAGCACCTCCTGCCACTTGCTCAGGCCCACCTCTGGCAGCCCCTTGGGGACTCTGAGCTTCCTGGGAAAGGATGCCCAAGGACTGGCCCTGTTCCAGGCCCACTGGGACAGGCAGGGGAGGCTGCAAGCGTGTAGCTGGCGAGACGAGCCAGAGCTCACTGCAGCCTTCAGTGCCCTCTGTGCTGGTGAGATCACCCGGGGCTCCTTTATCCACACCCCTGGACCCGAGCTGCAGAGAGCCCTGGCCACACTTCAGAGTCAGGGGAGGGCCTGCCGAGGGCCTGAAGAGGGTCCAGCAGGGGCTAGGGAGAAGCGAGCAGCAGGGACCAGGGAGGAGCAAGCAGGACACAGAAGAGCACCTGGCAGCAGAAGACCCCAGCGGGTGAAGAGAGGCTGGACCATACCTGGCACGCTGTGGTGTGGAGTAGGGGATTCTGCTGGGAACTCCTCGGAGCTGGGTGAGCCATGGGGACGTGGACTGGGGGGCAGGGGAGGGAAGTGCTGGTTTTTGCCCTGGCCCCAATTCTCCCAGGCTGTGTGTCCGTGGGGGATTTCAATGTCCTTATCTGTAAAATGGGGGTGACCCTAAGTCTCATCGTGGGTTGCTTAATTTAGGTTGTAGATGGGAAACGTCCTCGTCAAACCTCAGAGCCCTCATTAATCACCATCCCTGGGAGGGGTTGGACTGGGGTGGGTCCAAGGTTGGCTGAGCCAAAAAGCCATTACCCAAGAGGAGGCTTTATGAGGCAGGATGCCCAGCGGAGGGGACGCCGAGACCCAAAGGCCTGGGTTAGCAAATTGAAGCTGAACAAGTCACTTCCCATCTCTGAACCTTGGTTTCCTCACAGGTACATGGAGATGATATTTCCCTCACTGAGCTGCTGTGAGTTTGGGTGTGGGGAGTGTCAGGCAATTGGGAAATGCTCAGTAAAAGGCACTATTGCTCAGATGGTAAGAACTTGGATGACTTTTGTGCACTCAGTACAGCTGTCTGTGCACGCATGGTGGGTTGGGGGAAGGCTTTGGCACCTGAGTTGGAGCAGACTGGCATCCTGGCAATGCCTCATCATGCCAGCGAGAAAGGATGCACTCTGCCTCTTTGCCATTCCATTCTGCACACATTCATAACTTGGGAGTTTTATTTGGGGCGTGAGCTTGGGAGCTCTAGAGGCAGACTTCGCTTCCCCTGAGGAAGTCCCTTTCCCTAACAAGGGCTCCTGGGTAGGCTGCCCAGCATTTGGAGCTGCCCAATAAAGGCTGTGCCTGGTTGCTCTTGTCAAGCTTTGAAACTGAGAGTCTCACAGAGGGAGAGTGGCCTGAGGCTGCCCAGGGTATCTGTGTCAGGGCTGGGGCAAGAACAAGGTCCCTGCTCCCTGCACCATCGAGGCATAGCCAGCGTGGGGTGCCCAGGACTCTGCTCAGCTGGTGCCCCCTCTGCCTCCTGCAGGGGTCTTCCAAGGCCCTGATCTCTGCTGCCGGGAACACGACCATTGCCCACAGACCATCTCGCCCTTCCAGTACAACTATGGCATCCGAAACTACCGATTCCACACCATCTCCCACTGTGACTGTGATGCCAGGTTGGCAGTGGGTAGAGAGGGCTGGGTGCTCAGGGGTGGGATAGTTCCTGGGTGCAGAGACTGGGATTCCAAAGAATCCTAAAGGATCAGCCCGCCAGACCCCACCGTGCAGGTGGGAAAGCTGAGCCCTAGGAGAAGAGACCCTTGGATCCCAAACCACCTGCATGGTAGTGACTGGGTGGTCTTGGAGGAAGAGAGGGGTGGCCCTCTTTGGTCCAGAGACCTGAGTGCCAGCTCTCGGGCAGGTTCCAGCAATGCCTGCAGAACCAGCAGGACTCCATCTCGGACATCGTGGGTGTGGCCTTCTTCAATGTGCTGGAGATCCCCTGCTTCGTGCTGGAGGAGCAGGAGGCCTGTGTGGTGTGGTACTGGTGGGGAGGGTATGTGGCTGCCCCCTTCGATCCCCTTCCCAGCCAGAGGGGGAGCCCAGGCTCCAAGCCCTGGGAGGGAGGCTTGTCTGTATGTCCATCCTCCAGCGAATGATACCTCATCCTCCCTGTGCTCTCCTCAGGACAGGGCCCAGGACGCAGACCTTCCTTGGGTGCTCCACATAGGCCAGTGGGACAAGGGATGGCACTGACAGAGCCTTGGTCTCCATGGAGATGAACCTGGGGTTTCTGGGGTGGGGGGGGATTGTGAGTTACCAATTGCCACCTTCCAGGTGTAGAACATATGGCTCCACACCCCTTGCCCGCCTCCAGTCCAGGAGGACTTTCTACAATGCCTCCTGGAGCTCCTTGGCCACCCCCATGACTCCCAGCCTCGAGAGCCCAGCCCCCAGCAGGCCTCCGCAGAAGCAGCGTCCTCAGAAGCGGCTGCCACAATGGAAAGGGTCTAAGCACCCCCACAAAACCAACACCACAGCCCTCCGTGTCCCCATGGCCTCCACCAAACCTGATATGTCCCCCACAGCCTGGCTGGAGGTCACCCATCCAGGCCTCCAGGGGCCACAGAATGGCCTAAAACCTCAGGGTGAGCTCAGAACTTAACTTTGGGGGTTCCTGATGTGGGAAGGTGTCCCTGCCTCTGTGCGGGGTTGAGGGGCCCTGTGTTGCTTCCTTCCCTTTTCCAAACTCCTCCTGGGGCGTCCCAACCTCTCCCATCAAGTCACATTGCAGCTAGAAGGATTTTCGTAAGCCCTAAACTTGCCCATATCACTCCTCACTGAGCCCCCACCATAGCTCCTCTTAACTCATGATGTCCCAACACCCGGGGGCCCTCAGGTGCTGCTCCTGCAGACTCTACTCCCCAGTTGAAACTCCAGTCTTGTACGCCTCATTTGGTTCCTCAAAAGCAGCTTGCTCTGTCCCACCTCTGGGCCTTTGTGCATGCAGTTCCTTCCGCCTGGAGCACTCTTGCCAAGTCTTCTCATCTGCTTAGCAGTCTCTTCCTCCAGAAAGCCTTTCCTGACCAACATTCTGGGCTCTATGGTGGCACTGTTGTGTGTGCATGACAGTGTGCGTGTGCATGTGTGTGTGAGACGTGTGTAGCATTCTGAGGGCAGGAAGGACATGAGACAGGGGGACACTGTGTGTGACTGAGCACGTGTGCCTATGTTTCCCCTACATGGCAGTGGGCATCAGTGGGGCTTTGCTGGGGGACCGGGCTCCCCTCACCACCATGCCCCCTGCCCCCAGACGCCCGCCGGGCCTGCCGCAGCTTCCGCCGTCTGGATCAATGCAAGCAGCAGATCGGGCCTCAGGAAACCAAGTTCCAACTGCTCAATAGCGCCCATGAGCCCCTCTTCCACTGCAACTGCACACGTCGGTGAGGCCTGCTTGGACCGTTGGGGGTGGGCAGCCTGCTGCCAGTCACGGAGAGGGGGCTCCTGGGTGGCCAGGCCCTGCCCTAGCCTAAGCCTGCCTCTGCCCTCACTCAGTCTGGCACGCTTCCTGAGGCTCCACAGCCCAGCTGCGGGCACCAACATGCTTTGGGAGCTGCTAGGCATGAACTGCTTCAAGCTGGCCCCTCCACTGGACTGTGCTGAGGGCAAAAGGTAAGTGGCGGCAAGGCCAGGAGGGAGGGGGCATTTTCCCAAGGTGGGGGGTTACCTATCCTCCCTTTGTGTGCCAGGACCAAGGGGATGGGGAAGGGGGCTAAGGCACCTCTGAGTTCCGTCGTCATCATCCCCTACTCCCTGGTGCTCCAGGTACAGCTCTGCGGTTGGCTTGTATGGGTCCATGTTGACTCTGTCACTTCCTATGTGACCTAGCAAGTTCAGTCACTGCTCCGTGCCTCCATTTCTTATTTGTAAAAAGCTTGTAGAAACCAAGGAAATGGTATGTGTGACACTATGACACACAGAGTCCAAGGCCTGCCTGGCACATAGTAAAATGTTTGCTTAACTCTTACTCCTAACCTAAAACCATGACCACCCGCTCCACTTTTGTCTGCCCACAGCTGTTCCAGAGACCCTAGGGCCATCAAGGTGACAGCCTGGCACTTGCAGCGACTTCAACAGAGGCGACGCCAGCTCTGGGGTGTGAGCACAGGTGAGGGGCAGGTGTGGCCTTCAGATCACCCAAGAGCCGCCATGTCATTCTATGACCGCTGCCTGCAGCTGACCCAGGCAACCCGGAGACCCATCGGGCGGCAGAAATCCTAGAACGAATGATCTCAGTTCCGCCTCTCCTGGGCACCACACTGGACCCTGCCCCTAGCTCTGCTAGGCCCCAGGGGGTCTTGGCTTCCTCTCCGTGTGTTAGACTGAAGCATGGCTCGGGCCCCTGTGGACAGCCAGAGGACAACGAGAGGCAAGGCTAAAATGCTGGACCACGTCTCCTGCTGTGCTGAATGATCCTGAGGTGGTGACACAACCCCTCTGTGCTTGGACGTGGTGTTCAGGAGGCGCATTCTGATGCCCTGGGCTTGGGCCTTGCCAGATGGGAATGGGGAAAGGGTAACTTATTACAGTAGCCTCAGGAGGTACACGCTCCAGGTTGCAAAATGAACACATCTCAAAAGCCTGTCCAAGGAGCCCCAAGCGCCTACTTGCTGAGGCCTGAGGCAGCAGGTGGGGAACAGGATGTTACAGAAGCGCCTGTATCTGAATCCAGGAAAGGGGAGGGTGTTAGGGGGCGCTTCCCAACTCTTTTCCCTGGGGGATCCCTTCTCAACAGCTGCTGTGCCCTTCCTGGCCCAGCCTTGGCCCATTTTTTCCTACCCGAAACCCAAATTCAAATCTCCTCTGTGTCCTTGAACGAGGGACCTCCCCCACTCTGAGCCTTAGTTTAGTAACTCCTCTGAAAAGGGGCAGTGTGACAAGGACCTACCTCATAGGATGGTTGAGGATTAAGTAAACCAATACATGGAGAATGCTTAGCACCTAGTAAATGTTCCCTCCCTCTAACATATAGCCAAACTGTGGTTAGGCATCTGATTCTGAGAGGTTCACCTCCTGGAGGCCTCAGTTTGCCCACCTGTGAAATGGGTCTAAGAACTGCACTGAACTCCACACGGCAATTCTGGGCTGTGGTGCGGATTAAAAGAGCTGGCCTGTGTAATGTATACAGCTGGTTCCTGGTAACTGTCAGCTCTATCATCCTCTCGCCTCTTTAGTCCCTTTCTCTGCCTACCCCCACCCCCAGACTGCTAACGAGTTAGGAAGGAGTCAGCAGTAATGCTGGAGCATTTAATTTCTAATTGATGACCTCCAGGATTGCAACCCCCCCCCACCCCATCTCAGATGGGGGCTGATAGCGCTTTGCTGATTGTCACAGTTGAGGTGCCAGGACTGAGTTTGGGGGACCCCACTTGGCCACCCCTGACCAGGACAGAGTGGCAGGTGTGGATGAAGCCGGAGCAGCGGCAAGAGGAACACAGGTGGGTTTGCAGGAGATCGGGGCACAGTGGCGGCCACCTGGGCCCATCCGCCCACCCACCCTCAGGGCCCCAGACCCCCTTCCTCCAGCCCCTGCCGGCCTTGGCTACTGGGGGCTGGGGCCTCCCGATTAGGTCCCCAGGAACCTCCCCCACCGGGGTCGACGGTCTCCAGGCGCAAGGCAGGCAGCAAGCCGAGGCTTCGAGGCACAGACGGTGGGGAGGCCCAGGGACTGGGCAGCCCAGAGGGCCCCTCCTCACTACTGCCCCGGCTGCCACCATCATTGCTCCTGTCAGGGGCCCCCCGGGGCAGGCGGCGGCTCGGGGGTGAGGGGCTGCGGCTGGCACCACGGCGTTCACGGGATGAAGGCCGCAGGACAAAGCCAGGGAAGCGGGCCAGGCCTGGGCTGCGGCTACGGTGTCTCTTGGACTTGCCGGGGCTGGGGCTACGGGACTTGGGTGCGAGCAGCTCCAGGGTACTGTCATCCTCATCCTCTGAACTGGCGCTTGAGCTGTCTGTGCTGCTGCTGGCCGGCTCCGAGGTGGGCAGCGAGATCTGGGGGCGGAGGCCAGTGACTGGGCTGCCCCATGCCCCAACCAGCCGCCGAAGGCATCTTGGAGCCACTCCCACCCTGCCCATTAGCAGAGCTGGGAAGGTCAGGTTCCTTGTAGGAGATCATGGAGCAGAAGGCAGAGGCTGTGGTGTTTGAACAGGGTCTTTTAGCACCCTCGATCCCGCAGTCTGAACTACTCACCTGGAAGGGCTCAGTGACACCAATGAGGATGCTGTGCGTGTGGCTGTAATAGCCCAGGATGAAATCTCCATGGCCCTTGGGCAGCGACTCCTCACTGAAGGTCACCTGGTGGGCCCAGGACATAGGCCCAGGTTGGGGTCAGGGAGGCAGCCTCAAGGACTGCCCAAGCCAAGTCCCGAGCTCCAAGGGCAACGGGGACTTCCTCCCACCCTCCCCCTCCCTTTCAGTACCTGGTAGATGTTCCCATCCACATCCTCGTGTTTGGCCCAGACATAAGCCACGTAGTCCTTGCAGTGGCGGAAGCCCACCTGGGGTGAGAGGATTCAGGGTGGTGTCTCCTCTCACCTGACTCCAGCAGCCTCCTGGGGTAGCAACGAACTCTGGAGAAGCCAGTGATCCCCCTGGGCCCCTGGCTGCTTTCTCCAGGCCCTCCCTTCCCTGAGGCACTGACCGTCCCTGCCCTTCTCACCCGGTACAAGCCGATCCAGTCCCAGGAGCTGCGGGCGAACACGGTTTCGATGCGGTACCTCACCACAGCCTGCTCTGGTCGCACCCACTCATCTGCCACCTCCAGCCGCACTAGCGGCACGTCGTCCCTGTAGGCAAACTGCCCAGGGGCGGGGGCCATATCAGGGGAGACCCTCCAAGTGTCCTTGGGCCTGAGTCAGCACAAATCAGCTGAGAGAAAGAGCCTTTGAAGCCACCTTACGGATTGGCAAACCAAGGCAGAACAGGTCTAGGATAAACGCCAGGCTTCCCACCTCCCAGCCCAGGGTTCTTTATGCCCATAGCCTCCTTAGGGAGTAAGAATACAGCTTTGAAGTGAATAGAGTAGCCCTTGTTCTGCCCTTGCTCCCACCTCAGGGAAGGACTGAAGATGGTGTGTCAGCCTCGGGCTTTTGTCTAGGACCCACCCTCCCCCCATTTATCAGGTTTCGGGTTTCCCTCCCTCCTCAGCTTTTGAGCCAGGCTGTTCCAGAAGAAACCAGAACATCCTCTCCTTGTCCCTAGGTTCCTAACAGCAGGTTTGCCCGGGGTGGCCTCTTGGAAATGCTCTCCAGGGCCTCGCAAGGTCAAAATGCTTTGGTCAAGAGACTTAAGTTCTCTGAGCCTCTTGGGAGGAGAATTTGGATATCTCGGAGCCTACAAAGGCATTCAAAGGATGACAGAGCCCCAGGGCCTGGCATGCAGTAGGTGCTCAACAGGTAACATTCTGCAAGGGTCAGAGACCTTGATGAGGAGGGAAGGTCAGGGTGGGGCCCCCAAAAGAAGTGGTTCTCAAGGTGAGGCCCCTGAGGGTGAAACCTCACACCCAAGTCTTTTACCAAAGGTCATGGGAGGCCAGACTTGGGCAGATTTCCATTCCCAGTTGAGGGCACTGGCGAATGTCCCACTGATGGACCACATGACCAAGTTACCAGGGAAAACATTCTCTGGCCTGCAGACTCCCTCTTATCAGATCAAGGAAAGGAATCGGAGAGTCCAGAGTTGGGTTTCAGGACTGGAAAGATGGGATCTACCTTCCTCTCCTGCTGAGCCGCTGTGCAGCTTGGGGGTACATACCTACCCTACTGGCGGGCCTCAGTTTCCCCATAGAAAAACAGAGTGTTGGACTACATGGTCTCTCAGGTCCAGTTCTGACATCTAGCATTTCTCCTTTTTACTTTGGCAACCAGAGACCTCAACCCTAAACAATGCCCTTCTCACCTGGTACAAGCCGATAACTATACTATACTAACTATTTAGAATTTAGCTTTGTATTTTCATCTCTCCACTCCTCCTCCCCATTACTACCTCACTCATGGTGCCTGGCACATGGTAAAATGGTAAGTGAATAACGAATAAATATGAATGAAGGCTATATGGAGTTTGAATAAACATTTTGATTTTTCTGGTCTTATTATGTGACTATATAATGTGAATTTTAACAGAAGTGGTCCTAATCCTTTATCAGAACAGAGTTAGGGATTAGTGGAGAAGGCATGGACTCTGAAAACAGATTAGCTTGGGTTCAAATCCTAATTCTTCTGTTTACCAGCTGTGTGACCCTGATGTGATGCCGTGTCTCTAAGCCTCAGTTTCCTCATCTGAAAATGGAGAACATAACCCATTCCCACTCCGCTGCAGGGAATGGATGCTGCTGAGGGCAGGTGCAAGGGCTTACTGGTGGGCCGTGGGATGCTGAGCTGGACCTAGGGATGTCATGACGGGAGGAGGGGGCCAGGACTCACCTGCAGGACGAACTGGGCAGCCACTGGCTTGTGGTCACTGACTGTGTATTCCATGTGGCTGCCGTAGCTATGTTGGGTCACCTGGAGGCGGTGGCTTTCCCGTCCTGAGGGGCTGGGACCCACACCCGGAGCCTTGACCTTCCACAGGATACGGTCTGTCCAGGCTGGCTTCCGCTTCTTGGCACTGAAGTGGGCAGGGGGAAGCCAAGTTTCAGGGGCTGGGGTTTGAGGCACAGCCCCCAGCCTTGCTTCTTGCCAATCCTCTTCCCTATCGAGAAGACCTGAGCCCGTGTCTCCACCTCATCCCAGTGCTGAGCTCACCTGGTATCATATTTGTTAGTACCCACATCAAATTTGAAGGTGGGTGCAAAGTTGAGGGGCCCTTCCTGGAAGCCCTTCAGGATGGGCCAGGTGTTCTTGGCCATGTTGAGCTGTGAAGGTCCAAAAGGGCAGAATTGGACAACAGCTTGCACAGGACAGGTGAAGGCAAGAGCCAGAGCCTAGTAGTATACAAAAGTGTGCTGGGTCATGCTCTGTGTGTTTGGCATTTAGGGTGCGGGCTGGGATTCTGCACCTGGTCCTTCTCCCAGAGCTGGTGGAGCTGGTCGCTGTCGATGGCAAACTTGACGAAGTGCAGGTCATAGCTCTCGATGCGGAAGTTGAGGTCCCCAAACCAGAACACGAGGCTGTTCAGGGGTGGCGTCAGCAGGGTCCATGGGGTGAAAGAGCCCAACCCAGATCCTTCTCCACCCCCATCCAACCCACAGCACTGGATGCCCCCTTGGGATGATGCAGTGGGG